CAAAGGGTATGCAAGAAAGTTAAGCCGTGAAGAAGCCAGAGAGCCACACCAAAATGCTTGGTACTTACCTCACTTTGCCGTATTCAACCACCATAAGCCCGAAAAGACGCGAATCGTCTTTGATGCCACAGCCGCAGTAAACAACGTGTCGCTCAACTCGCAGCTATTGAAGGGTCCGGAGCAGGCACAGCCGTTGAAACGGATTTTGCTACAGTTTCGCCAGGGACGTGTCGGAGTGTCCGCAGACATACGCGAAATGTTTTCGCGAATCAAGATACGCGCAACTGATCAGCACGCTCAGCGGTACTTGAGGCGTGATGGTGATGCGAGCAAGCCTGTGGCAGAGTATGTGATGACGTCGTTAATTTTCGGTGCTGTTTGCTCACCCTGCATCGCCGAATATATAAAAAACAAAAACGCCGAGGAGTATCGAGCACAGTTTCCAGACGCCGCAACGACTATAATTAACAAGCATTATGTCGATGATTTAGTTGCAAGCTTCGACACGCCTGAACAAGCCATCAGTATCTGCAGTGACATTGTCAGCATCAATTCACAAGCAGGGTTCGAGTTGCGGAACTTCGTCTCCAACTGCGAAGAAGTAGAAGATCGTTTGAATCATTCGTCGTTATCCGTGAGAGAAGTGGTTAGCCTGGAACACAACGGGTCAGTGGACAAAGTGATTGGCCTCTACTGGAATACAAATTCCACACGAAGTTCTACCGTTTGCCGAAAGATGTCCTGCACGGAACTTGAGCTCCGACAAAACGAGAGTTGTTACGAATCGTGATGTCGGTGTTCGATCCATTTGGTATGTTAGCAGCATTTTTAATTACTACTAAAATTCTCATTCAAGAAGCGTGGAAGTGCGAGATTGGCTGGGATGAAGTTCTGCCTCAAGAACTAAACAAGATATGGTGGCACTGGTGGCAAGAGTTTCCTAACGTGAAGCAGTTGAAAATACCCCGCTGTTATTCGCCGCAAATCTTACATGGTGGCAAGGTAGAAATCCACACTTTCGTCGACGCCAGTCAAGTCGCATTTGCTGCGGTAGTATACGTTCGAGTACTTCATATTAATGGAGTTGACGTTCGCTTCATTATGGGCAAAACACGCACAGCACCAGCGGAACTGATGTCGATCCCGAGACTCGAGTTACAGGCCGCAGTATTGGGCACCCGCTTGTACAAGCTCATCGAGGACAGCCACGAGGTCAACATAGGGCGAGCAGTTTTTTGGACCGACTCCCAGACGGTTCTGCAATGGGTGCATTCGTCCGAAAGAAAGTATAAGGCATTCGTCGGCCATCGTATAGCCGAGATTCACAACGGCACAACGGCACAACGGCAAAAGAGCAGTGGCGATGGGTGTCAACTTGTCAAAATGCAGCAGACGTAGCAACACGCCCCTTGTGTCCACCCAAGTTCGACAGTAGCAGCGAGCAACAATACTATTTCGAAAACAGAGCAACAGTACAACACCAATGTCGCCAAGCCTCACAGCGAGACTGCTTTTCGAGCGAGATCGCTGGTTTGTCAGTCGGCGGTAAAATCGCCAAAAGAAGTTCGCTGTATAAGCTTTCGCCGTATCTCGACCAAAGTGGCCTATTAAGATTGAGCGGACGCATCGACGAGGCAACATACCTACCAATGCAAGCACGACGACCGATATTAATGCCTGCCAAACATATCGTGTCAACCCTGATTGTACAACATTTTCACAAAATAAATCATCACCAGAATTCCGCAATCACCATTAATGCCATCCGACAACAGTTTTGGATACCGAATTTGAAACCGCTCCTCAAGGCAGTTCAGCAAAGGTGTCAACAGTGTATGATCGACAAAGCAAAGCCAAACCAACCTATGATGGGTCAGCTGCCGGTCAACCGCATAACTCCTATTAACGTCACCATCGGTATGCGCAAGGAGAAAAGGTGGGGCGTTATATTCACCTGCCTGACAGTTCGAGCTGCACACATAGAGCTAGCTACCGACTTGAGTACCGATGCGTTCATTTTATGCCTGCGGAATTTTGTAAACCGACGTGGAACGCCGTCCAGAATAAGGAGCGATAATGGGACAAATTTTATTGGCGCACAAAGGGAGTTGAGGGCAGCTGAGCAGTTGTTAGTCACTGACCGCATTCAAGCCGAGGCTGGCAGACACAACATCGAGTGGATATTTAACTGTCCGCTGAACCCCAGTTCGGGAGGCTGCTGGGAGCGCTTGATAAGGATTATAAAGTCGCTGTTAAGCAAGACGTTGCGTGAGGTAGCCCCAAGACCCGACACTCTGCACAGCGTGTTAATAGAAGCGGAAAATATCATCAACTCCCGACCGCTAACTGACCTGCCTATAAGCCATGAAGAAGATGAGCCGTTAACACCCAATCACTTCTTATTGGGATGCGTTAATTCAACGCAGACGCCGCACCCAGTTGACGAGAAGATTTGCCTAAGGAAGCAGTGGAGAATCGCGCAAAACATCAAGGACCGGTTGTGGAAGCGATGGACAGCCGAGTACCTGCCTAAGCTATTGTGCCGTACTAAGTGGCAGGACAAAGCAATACCGCTTCAAGCGAACGACCTGGTGATATTGTGCGACTCAACGCTGCCCCGTAGTCAATGGGTACGCGGCCGCATAACTCAAGTTTTTCCCACCAAAGACGGACAAGTACGTATCGTGGAGGTGCGAACGAAGAGCGGACTACCACGCAGACCAGTTTCGCGTTTAGCAAAGTTAGAAGTTGGTGGTGAATCCTATGAGAATTCACGGGGGGCGGGGTGTTAGCAACCCTGGTAGTTTGCTGAAAGTGGCAACACCGCGAATAAGAACTGCAACCAAAATGTATGTTTAATACGCCTTAACTGCAACCAACTTTGGTATATATTTTCGTCGGCCATGACATAAGGAGTCTAGATAGCGAACGAGCAACACAAGTGTAAAACAACAACAACAACAGCAGGCTTCAAGCTAAAACCTTCAGCATTCAACCTACGACTATTTAAGCACTTACCGACTGCCGTTCATATATATATGTGACCTGGTCTACGAAAAGGGAGCTTACGTGCGAAAACTAGTTTTCTGTGAAAAAGCTGTTAAAAGTAAGCAACTCGTTTCGTCAGTTTCTCATTATCTCGTTAATTGTTCTCCGCGCCGGACGCCCAGTAAGTGTTGTTGTTGGTGAAGTAAGTGTTGTTGTTGGTCGGAATATTATAAATATAAATAAATTATATTTTGTCGTATTTTTACTCTTCTTTCTCTACATTTTTAGTACACTTCTAAGCAAGTTAGGATTTTCTGCTTTTCACCACGTGAAAAAGCATCTCATCTTCCATCCGAATCAACCAAAAAGTGAAAATTGATTTTTTGACACCTAAGCCCCCTTTCCGTAGACCAGGTCACATATATATTTTATGTTTTAAAAGTACAAGTTACGCGCTTACGTGTCTGTAAAAGTAAGAAAAATTAATGGTGCATTTACATGGTATGAATCTGTTCATAAGCCGTATGAATTTTCCTATAAAAGAAGCACCAACTCTATGAAAAGGCACCAAAATATGTATGCAATACTTATACATATCTTCGTTTAAAGTACAAAACCGCGCATCAAGGAAATGCAGAACCTCGTATGGGAGGTTGTCTAAATTTTATAGGAGAGAGTGAAACTTGTCCTAATTAAAAACGGTTCTCTCTTTTAAACTTAATAATCTTCTATCCTTATCAGTGTTGCCAGAACTTTTTGGGCCGACCGGCTAGATTGGCAAAAAAAAGCGGCTAAAATGTTTTAGTGAAATTTCACATAGACTCTGGCAAAAAACGGCTAAAATGTTTTAGTGAAAATTCACATGATTTATTNAACCGCGCATCAAGGAAATGCAAAACCTCGTATGGGAGGTTGCCTAAATTTTATAGGAGAGAGTGAAACTTGTCCTAATTAAAAACGGTTCTCTCTTTTAAACTTAATAATCTTCTCTCCTTATGTCTAAGTCGATATTTTATTATATCGATATTTTATTATAAATGGCTAAGGGCTTGATGTCAGGAGCTTCCGATGACCAAATATCTTTTTTGGCACAAATTTCAGTTCCGAGGTTTTGCAGAACCACGATACGCGCTTTTGTACTTTAAACGACGAATATGTATATCGCTTGAACAATATGTTAGTGTTTGGCCTAGCTTCTCCTCCGATATGCGGCGTGCGTGATTTTGTCACACAAAGTAAAGGACAGTTTTACGCCGACTCCGAACGGCAATTGTATTTTAATGAGAAGTTGTTTCCATGACAGAATACACTCGGAGGTTTACTATTACCAACAGAGGGGCAACCACTATTAGAAAAACTGGGCTTGAACTCAGGCTCTGCGTAATGCTCTACAGCAGCCGCCACTACTTTTACATATATTGCTGGTATATTCAAAATACTATCCCGAACTTCGGAGTGTATATATGTAATATAAAAAAGAATGAGAGGTACTATAAGAAAATGTACCCAAAATTCTGGAGCAAATGAAAAAATGCTCATTGAAAATAGTTCACATGTATAAATTAAAAGATATAACTTAATAGGTTACAGCGCTAAACTAAAGGAAAAGTTAGAAAAACTAGCAATGCGGTGTGAAGGAAATAAAAGACCATAAAATTTTTGTTTGTTTCGTTAATTCTCTGAACATGTTAAGATATGACACCATTGTTTGCAGTAGTTTGCAAATATACACTAATTGTTCTAAAATCGCAAACATTTTCGTGGGATGTTTTTCTTTGATTTCGAATTGAAAATACATTACGATCATATTGTACCGAAATAAGTGCGGTATCCCTGCATTTTTGTAAAAGCCAGAAAGAAGCATAAACTGTATGAAAAAATGAAAGGGAGAAGTATACATGCCTTCTATAATTTTGACTTATATGTATATTTGGCAAGTCTTTGTGTAAACAACAAAAAATACACATTTTCATTTCTTTGCCAGCTTGGAAAATATAGGCTTATTTTTACTTAAATGTGATATAAAGCTCATTAAAATGTTCTGTAATGTCTTGTTTTTAAGTTTGTTATCATAGTGCTTTGTATTTTGATTGTCCACTATACGTGAGTTCCTTCTATTGAAAAAGTTCTAGTACAAAGAATTTCTTTGTTTTGAATTTGTTTGTTTATTGTTTAAAATTCATGCTTTTGACATGTATGTGAATGGCGGAGTTGCCGCTTTCCTCCTTTTCGGTGGGTTTTTATATTAAAAAGGCATCCAAATGGGAAAAATCCTCCTTGGTATCTCTGCATCTGTTAAACTTTTTATGGGAAGATGTATGAAAATTCAACTCGCTATAATTTCATATGCTTAACAGTATCACAACAGTATGTTTACAGTATCTCCCCATAACCTTTCATATGAAAAAATGTATTATATGCATCCCACCCGATATCATTGAATTCCTCGTTAGAACATGTAGTCCCTCTATTTTAGCGTATCAACAGTTCATATGGCTTCATACCATGTAAATGCACCATTATAATGCAAAACCACATATCTGAACAATCAGTTGTATGAGACCTATATGTTATAGTGAATCGATTTCGATGGTTTTTCGTTATCTAGCATAAAACACCACCCACCTATCGATAAATAAGTGTACCCGCGGAAAATAGACTTTTTTTTTGTTTTAGTTTCCTTTCAGATACTAATTTTCGAATACTCATAACTCTGGTTCTATTAGAAGCACACATTCAGTTTTGATGTTATTTGCAAGAGTGTATTAATAGTATATACTACTTCAATACCATTTAAAAAAATTATACGGTAAAAAGTTACATGGAAAAACAAGAACACTTATGATGATTTCGTTTCTACCAAAAAATGTCGCCTTTTGATTTGTGAAATTGTGTGTTCGTTTCTTAAAATGTCACACTCTTGTAAGGCGAAAAAAAGTAAATTTGAAGCTTTATCAGGAGAGATAGTTGCCTCAAATTCNATACTACTTCAATACCATTTAAAAAAATTATACGGTAAAAAGTTACATGGAAAAACAAGAACACTTATGATGATTTCGTTTCTACCAAAAAATGTCGCCTTTTGATTTGTGAAATTGTGTGTTCGTTTCTTAAAATGTCACACTCTTGTAAGGCGAAAAAAAGTAAATTTTCTTCCCTTTGAAGCTTTATCAGGAGAGATAGTTGCCTGAAATTTAGGTGGTTGTTTAAAACGACAATATTATGAATTGCGTTAGCTAGACACGGACAAAAAGCAAAAACATGCGCCTTTACAGGGTTGAGTGTAACATTTCACACTTTTTGTACCGGGGAAGGGCAAAATTTTTCACCATTAGTTAAATTTTATCAGTCCAAAATCACTACTTCATTAGTTTTTTTT